CGTTTTGTCTTTTCCTTTGTTCAAACAGGCATATTTTGCTGTTTAATTTGAAATAATGGAGAATATTTGCAGCTCATGTGGACGGTCTTGGTTGCATTGTGTTCTCAGAGACACGATTAAACAACCCAGCTCAGAAAACACAATACAACCAAGGTTGTTTAATTTGTTTGAACATATTTCTACTTGCATTTCTGCAGAAGTACTCATTTCAAAGCTTAAGTCACTCTTGTTAGATACTGGGAGTTTTAAAATAATTACGAATTTATATTAATATGTCTGTCACTCAGAATTATTAAAGTAAATTTTAGCCCTTGCCTTTCTTATCCATACATTTCCAGGCTTCAACAGGACAATTAATTAGGTACTGCTATGCTTGCTTTTGTCATCTAATTGATAAACTTATCACTTGCGATACCACTGTTACGTATTTTGGTAAGAAAGATCTGCATTACAACCTAGTGCACCTCTGACCTCTAAAAACTGTTTTATCGCTTTCTGACATTTTCATGTACTGTGCACCTTTAACTTCCCAATAGGATTGACCTTGGTATCATGTAGCTGGCATGCTATCATTCAACTAAATATTGTCTTGTAAAAGCTGTGGCTCACACACCTTAAGGCTCAAAAAATCTCTCTTTGATTTTCTAAAAGTACTGGGACTGTGGTCCTACTACTAAAATAAGCAATTAAGCCTCTCTATTTCATGAAAAGTTGCCTTTCCAACAGAAATAGAGGAGCTTAATTAGTTGTAGTAACTTCTAGAGTGGCATTTAGAGTAACTGTATAAGTATTATGATTAAATCAGATTCGATGCTCGCTTTTCTCCAGAATATTCGAAACAACTATGGTTTGGATACTCATAATTTATTGATTTTATTGGGTTACAGCCGTTAACAACGTCGTTTCTTAGCTAGTCGCAAGAATAAAAAGAATCAACCTATATATATATATATATATATATATATATATATATATATATATATATATATATATATATATATATAACTGTACCTCATGACTTACATACTTGTAGCTACATGATACTGCTTCTATACAGCTCAAAATGAGGTTTGGCAGACGAAACAAGTTCAGAGAACAAATGAATTTATGCATGTAACGTTTCAAGAATTTGTTACTTGAATGCACGTTTACCGCTTAACACATTTTACGAAGTCATATGCCTATAGAACGATCGAGTGGTCATGAGATCCTCATTAGGTCCACTTCTAGCAGGCTGCTTTATTGCCAGATTGGAGTATGGACTCTTGCAATCAATAATTCATAGTTTTTAACTGTACAAAAAGTACATGGACGATACTTTTACAATCAATGATAACCAATGTAACTTGTATCATATTCTACAGATATTCAACAGTTAACATTCGGCATTCGCTCTTGAGGTTAAAAATGGGCCAGAGACTCCCTTTCTTGGCGTAAAACCGAAAAAAATAGCTGATGCATCATTTAAACCAATTCATAGGAAACCGGTGTAGAATTTTCAACTGACGAACCTCCATACCTGAATCTTCATAAGACGCGAACGAAATCTAACCACATCTCTTTTCACTCGTATCTTTAGATCCAACATATTATAAGAGAATATTTCTGTCCAAAGAAAATTTCTGATTGAAAACGAGTTCCCGCCGCGCTTCACAAGTGAAGTTAAAAATGATGATGTGTACTCGAAAAACAAAGCTTGGCGATTGAATCGTCCAGCTCAAAAAAACAAAACAACCAAGATCATCAACCTGAGCTGCAAATATTCTCCACTATTTCAAAATCGTACTTATTCTTCTCCTTTAATATATTACATCGAATAATGTGTTTGATATAGCACATAGTGAGACATTATTACTTATTAGTAAGTGAGACTGAATCACTGTATGCTTTGTTGTACTGACTAATCTAATGTGGAGTTGCATTCTACCACAATCCTTAATTCCCTATTTGTGTTATACGCCGATATGTCTACGCATGAATAATTCAATTGATAAGTGCATATGGAGATGGCGAAAATCGGTAAATTGTCCTAACTTTGACTCGAAACATTCTGTCGACTAGAAAATAATCGATAGAGGCTAGCTGTATTAAGAGTTCTTTCAATGGTCATCGATAGTTTGCGAATCACGATGTCAATATGTCTATCCCAAATAAATCGTAGCTTCACCGATAATGATTGCCGTCGAGCAGTTGCTGTCTGGACTTTTCTAACCACTCCATTTACATACTTATTTAGTGAAACCCTAAAGAATTTAAAGTGTTTTTTAACTCCCTCTGAAAATTATCGTCTGAACTAATTTTAGTTGCTCCAGTTGTTACACAGTTCAGTAGATTTCTTTTTTACCGTATTGGTATTGAGATAATAAAAACGTATGTGCATTGACACCTAGATATGCTTTTTTTCTGTACACATTTCTACCAAGTGAGTCATCTTATCATCTACTTAACTAAACATTAAGATTGTTGCTATATCCTTTCTGACAAGTGAAGGTAATATGATGTTAAATCTCGGCAACACTTCAGTCATACATGTTCTGAGCAGAAACGATTATTGTTTCATCGACGTGTCGGTAACATATATCGAGCTTGTCAATGACATTCTTCCATGGCCCATTCTCTAATTTTCTTTTGTGAAACGGAATTTTAAGAGTAGCGACGTTAAACTGTCCAATTTATATATGCATATCAGTTAGCAAACTAACTAACCAAGTAGATAGTTTATTCTCACCATGTTAACTATCAGCAGCAACAGTTAATGTAAACTTAAAAGTCGAGTTTGCGAGACTGTTTATTAGATCTAGCCCCCTGGATGGCTTAAAACTACATTTCAGGGAAAATTTCGACGCAATGGTTACTTTGAAGTTTCTTTAGCGATCGGATTGGTTTTATGGGGTAGGGTTGCTAGCCCCATGCCTAACCTTCCCTCTTTATCCGGGCTTAGGACCGTCTAGTAAGTAGTGAACTAGTTAACTAGGCAAGGTTAACGCGCCAGGTTTCTGAACCATATAGAAGCATTGAATTGACACTAGTGCTGAGTGCAGCAAATAAAGAACAAGATCCGGATTTTCAACACCAATTCAGTCAAGTCAGTGCTTCTATATGGCTCAGAAACTTGGTGCGTTGCGAGAAGCATTTCCAACAAACTACAGATATTCATAAACAGCTATCTACGCTCAGTACTGAATACCAGATGACAAGAAAGGATAAGCAGCAAGGAACTCTGGGAACGAACCAACCAAGAACCTATCACCCAACAAATATGCAGGAAGAAGTGGAGATCGATTGGGCATACACTGAGAAGGCCGACTTGGGACATCACACGTCAGGCCAGTTGCTCGAGTGGAATCCCCATGTGAAGCGACGAGTTGGACGTCCGAGGGTGACATGGAGGAGATCGTGCGAGGAGGAAATGAGAGGTTGTGGGCTGTCGTGGAGCCAGGTTCAAAAGATTTCAGAGAACAGAGTAGAATGGAGACGTGCTAGTGAAGCCCTATGTTCCACTAGGAACCCAAGCGACAAATAATAAGAAAATAATGGTTACGTTGTAATGGTGTCAGGGATATTAACTAATGCAACCATGTTGATAATGCAATCCTGTTATACTATCAGTCGTCAATAAAATTATCTAATATGAAGTTAAACAAGACTACAAGATTACTTATACAAAAAACCTAGACACTGACGAAAGCCTTTTCAATTTTCGTATCAAAATATAATTGAAAATATTGCTGTAATGACAAATCTTTCCCACGCATTCAATAGCTTCTTCAATCAAAATATTTGTTCTAACTCCAACTAGTCTCCTAAATATTGTCATACGAACGGTATATGCAGGTACAAAAATATAACCCTATTACAAGATGAACTTCCCACCTTAATTGGGATGAGACGTACTACTCGAACATATTTACGGCAAGTGTATCAGTTTGGAAGTAGCAGATGATATCACAAGAGTTGACACTTTCAACACCTATCATCAACAGCAAGACCCATTTTCCAATTTCGTACTACTGAATACCTTAATAAAGTACTCTGTTGAAGTCAGAATCAGCAACTTTTCACGTAAACTAAACCGTTTCGATAAAATCCTTTAAGAGATCGACAGCAAAATGACTGACGGCTTCTAGAATAATTTGACAAGCTGTATAGTATCCCGTAAACAACCACCTGTTAGTCGACTAGTTAATTTCAGATTATTTTATGACTTCTATCCGTAGTTATAAATCCCAAAGCAAGTTCTCAACTGGTGTAAACGATATTCACCATATGTTCTGAAAAAGGAAGTTATCAGTTAAGTAGTTAACCAAGTATAATGTACAATTACACAGATGTATTCACTCCTTGACATCTAAAACATTTTTTACTAAGCAAGAGAGACAGGTCGATTAACGAGTTTATGAACCTTAGTCGACTGAGATGGCTTTGACATATGCTGTACGTGCCGATCCACCATCTACCTCGATGTGTCATGCTACAGAAAGATGAATTAGATTGGAAAAGGGTTTAGCGTGGTCAGACGAAGACCCAGCACCAGTCGATAAAGTCTCTGACTGTTAATTTCAGTTGTTTGGGGGGGGAGGTGTAGACCGCTAGGCTAGGGTCCCTGGAACAAAAGGAATCAGTGGTTGACGACTCCTGGTGACATTGCTAAAAACTGGTCACAATGGCGCAGATGTATTCACCCTCTGACGTCTTCTGCAGCCTGAATATTTACACGAACCCTCATCTTCAAATTGTTTATTATCTCATACAACTTCATCTACTTTGATATAATTCTTTTCTATCCACCTGTTTTCTGCATGCTATTGTGAAGTGTGGCAACTTAAACCGATGAAATTCTATGCGAGGTTCTACTTTAATTTTGTCTGTCAGTGTGTCTGAGGTAGTAACCTGTGTAATACTGCAAAAGGCATATTACAGCATACGATGATATTTTCTCTTCATTGGTCGTGAACTAATATAGACTGTACCCATTCATATAAAGGGAGAAATATAAAAATGCAGTTGGTCAAAATATTCATTATGTAATTCAATCAAATCATTTGACAAAGATCGAAGGGAAAACGAAAAAACTATGCATAGAAATAAAATTAGGCTGTTATCATCACAACCGGGTCATCATACTCACTGTTCAAACAGTGGCAAAGATATGAAATCTTTCAAAAGATTTTTTTTAATCAACGGTCAGTAGTCATCTGGAATAGGCGGATTAAAGAATTGTGACACATGATTGTCCACTGCAACTAAACTATTACCACTATTGCTAGTAATATTACCAATAGTATGATTTATCCCAACAGAAGTGTTATTATTATCGGATTTTGCATGTATATGTTGATACACATCTGTATGTGAGTTATCATGATTGTCTGGTAAACGTTTCACCACATAGATTGTATCACCAACGCATGTCATAATATACACTGAATGCTCAAAATGTACTGTGGAGGCAAATATAAAAGGGAAAACACAAAGAAGTCAATCATCATACTTGTTTGAATGATATATATATATATATATATATATATATATATATATATATATATATATATATATATACGTACTTACGAATCGAAGACTTCCGTTAAGATAACCACACATGAGTAACCGGAAAGAACTGACCAACACACTGATACAGAGAAAGATATGACAAAGTAGCAATTATTAAAGCATCATTTTAAACTCCCTTAAAAATAGGTGTCTCAGTAATCCTAGCTACATTGACTGAAATTTCAACCGAAATGCACGTGCAATTTTTGATTTGACTGCTTTTAATTCTGCTTTATGAAGATAAAAACCCTTTTGCAACAAACACAAGCGAATTAGCTCTATTTTAGAAGTTTTACAGGTTATGAAAGGTATAATTATTCAGTGTCTAGCCATCATGAAAGAAAATCAAATTTGAGCGAATCAGACAGACACTTATAAACCATATATATGTACCTTCCAGCAGGCGCTAAAACCCCCGCGATAATATCTACTGGCGTGAATGACCACAAAAAACTTGATAAATTATTTTACTGAGTGGGATACAATGTGATACAGACTCCTAAAAGTGATTTTAGTAGACATTTTGGCTTTTCTATCCAACGTCTTGCAAGCAAGTGTTTCACTTTTTAATTTTTTGGAGGCTGAGAATACCCACAGTAACTTTCGTTATGACAGCGAAATACTTCCATTTCGTGGAGACACTGACGTATTCAGTTCTTGTGGCATTTTGGAGGCACATCTAAGAATAACTGAAGTAAGCTGTACGTGATAAGTTGGAACTGGTTATTCATCTCAAGTAGTGGATAACAGACAATCTAAAAGGCTAGACTAAGCTGAAGTTATCCAAGAATGTAACTAATGAGCTCAGCTGCATATGAACGATGAGGCTATCAGTATTCGCAAACAAAGATTGGTGTCAGTTGTTTTTAAACACTCCTGGCATTCCGTAATAGTGATGTAGAATTTCGTAGTGCAAAACAGCTACAACATACATCGAAGCTGCATTGGAAAAAACGGAGTGAACCGTTTTTCTGTCCTGCTTGCCTTAATCCACACGTCCATTAGTGAGAACATAATACTGACTGAAATAATTGGCATCAGGGAGAAATTACACCAGTGTGCATGAGTGCAACTTGACTCAAAAACCAGGAACTACTCCGAATTTCCTCAAAATATAACACAAGTGAATTATTTTCAATAGTAGGTTCTGTAAGAAAAAATTTATACACAGTGAATCCTCAAAGTCCGTATGACAATCACAGCAACATCAAAGTAGCAACCACTGTGGGGAAATAACAAGAACAAGAAAATACAACTAACCAGTTAGTCTCTTAAATTGCTGTGTCTTCCTTTCACCTTCCATGTTTATAAGACGACCAACCCGATTGGCAATTGCAGCAAAATGCTGAGCCAGATCTTTATTATTAACTAATTCCCCAGCTGATTGTAAGACCGACCCATCAGGACTAATGACCAAAGTACCAAGCCAACCTGGTAATCTGTTTAAAACAGCTAGTGGTGTAACTACAGCTCCAATATGACATGCAGACGTGGGCATAAGGAGAGCTGGTGAGAAAAAGTAAAGTTTTTACAAACAATTTACGCTGACCTTTAATCAGTTAACATCAAAAAGGACTCAACCTTACCGTGTAACGCCGGATCATATACAAAATCTAGTTATCGAATTACAAAATAAATGAGATTTTGTGGGCACGTGAATACATATCATTTGTATTCTGTTGCTGATTTAACTGACATATTAGCTTCCCTTCCGGTCTCTAAAACAACCGCATTAAAAGATTATCAAATAAAAAAAGGACAGATATGTCACCAGGTTAAACATTTCTACATTCCTGATGAGACTAGTTGAGATAACCATCTCTTGATAAACTGGTATTATTTAAAATGGGTGCCAACTGAAGACTAAGTGAGAGCGAGATTAGAATCCTACCGCGACGTAGGCTTTTATTTTACCTTCAACCATTGCCTAATTTTCTATCTCTCTGGGTTCCGATTTCATTCCATACAAGCACGTAACTACTTACAACAGGATAACATATTTCAAAATTTTGTTTGCAACTCCACTAAGAGGATCTAGCAACATAACACAAGAATCGAACGACTAGTGCACATTCCCGCCTAATAGTTATAATAATGATAACTCTAAAGACTCAAATGCCGCCTTCGGGTCAAGACATATAGCAAGCGTCAGGCTCCAGTATGTATAGGTTCCAGAAACTGTCGAAGGGCGAGGATTTGATAGGTGCACCTTTATCTATGTCTGAAATCTGTGTGGTTTTCTTCAGTTTGTTTTTGAGTTACTGTATGGCGTCGCATAACTATAGATCCTAGAATCTCGGATACGATGTTGATATATATATATATATATATATATATATATATATATATATATATATATATATATATATATATATATATATATATATATCTTGGGAACTAGAATGGTCACTGATTGCGCTAGCAGCTAGACTTATTCTGGCTATCTTATTGTAGATTGAGGAAACTTCGTATTAGCGCTCTATGGCTCAGGCAACAGTCTGGTTGGTGTTCTGTCCTTCCTATTTCTCACAAGAAATTATCCCTTGGATATTTTCACCTTTCTCACTTACTGATGACACCGTGGGTTCTTCAAGAATCACACACTTGGTGAAGAAAAATGAGACTAAGGATAGAACAAATAGAATATCACGTAAAGTGAGGGACCAATAGAACATCAACTGGAAAGAGACAAAAGGTGCACGGAGGGAAGCGAAGTTGTAAGGAATAACGGAGGTGATGCATATGCGGGAAAAAGGTGGTAGAAATAGGAAGGTAAAAGCGATGACTGCCACAAAACAGCTTCAAAAGAGGAAATGACACGTTTGCTGACTGTCATTGTTTGGTCTCAACATTAGGTTTTCCATTAAGTCATGAAAAGAAAGCCACGAAGAAGGTTTTCTTCGCCAATAATGTCACTTTCTAATGCTGTACGATTGTATTTCTATGTATCACAAGCATGAGTCTGTCACTGAACAACAGAGTTTATTTCCATTATAAGAGTGGTGTGCAAACTGAAGTGAAGAGTGAAAAGGAGTTGCGTAGTAATCTATCAAACAATGCCAGCAAGAAAGGTAAGGAGTTTGACAAGATACAAGTTATTGACAGGTATCAAATGCGACCGCTAAGTATCCAATCAATATATGCAAAGAATGCGAATAAGGAAGCAAGGGTTACAACGTGGACGGGAAATAGTAAACTGACTAATTATGATAAAACCGCCCAGCCAAACACGAATACTGAAATAATGCGTGTGAATGTTGAAATAAGGCAGGTCAATACACTGAATAGGAATGGTAAAATAATGCTGAAATGTGACAATTAAGCGGATGAAAAAAGTGAGGAATTAAGACCATGACTAGATAAGAGATTATGCATAATTTTTCTGCACACAGGGACAAGGCTTGAACTGGTGAGTTGCATTTACATCTGCCACACACAAATTTCTTGAAAGTGTCTCCGGCTAAATAGATGGCATCGAAAGACTGAAGAGTAGCCATACATCTAGAGGTAACTGACTTGCATCCTAATCTTGGCAACCATATGCTTATTCAGACTGTTTGGTAGATTACCGAGTAACTATTTTACACTTTATTTCAGTTTAAACCACTCATGATGCAACTAAGCCACACTGTTCAGTAATAGATTGTCAAGTTCCTGACACATAAAATGTTGAAGCACAGCTGAAGAAAATGCTTTCTTCGGTTTAGAGATTTTTCCTAGCTGAAATGATTTTTCGCTACCACGCTTCCCCTATACGGCGTTTACTTACCGCCTTTAGTCGGCTCGAGTGCTAAAATCCGTATTTTAGAAATGACAGAGGATCAGTCCCTAGGGTTCCTTGTTTTAAGAAACAAGAAATTATTGTAGGACGGCACGGTGGGAACCACCTTGCCAGTTCCACATCGCTCCCGTTATAACTTACCTTTCTGGGGGAAGACTGACCTTGAAGCAGCACAAGATCTGTAATTTCCGCACCTAATATCCGCCAAATATGGTAAACACCCAGCATCGGTCACGTGATTTCTTCCCTCTCAGATCTTTATCTTGCTCAACTGGATGAAAGTATCTGATGAATTCCAGTACGGAATACTTAGCCACTTGCCTGCATTAGCTTCGGTAAACCCGGAAGGTGGTTCTAATATCCAATATCTTTATTACGGGCTTGTGCAAAGCAGTTGATTTCTTCTTGCTCGCTTCTTGATCTTGTGGAACGGTTCCAGGTCTCTGGCGGATTTCGACGCAGTAGATCCAGCCACTCTTCTGCTATAGCTGTGGTTTACGGATCAGGAGGGTAAGTGTTGGTTTGTTTGCCTTGGGCTGCGGTGCAGTTGGCTTCTTCAGATGTTGAGTTGCCAGACAGTTGTTCGGACTGGTCGCTACAGAGGGCTAGGGACAGTGAAGAGAAAACGTAGAAAGTGTTAGCGTGAGTAAAAGTGGAAAAGTATACTAATGGAGTAATCTACTTACACCCAAGTATGGCGAGGAGGGACGCAGAGGTATAAAGAATTTACGTGAGTGAGGTTAACTCATGGCAATTGGAAGGGATGAAAGGGGCTTGAATGGTTACACTAGAAAGAAGACTGGTAGTAACGTTAAAATAATTGGGGTGGCTTTACATAGGTTCGTGATCCAGCTACAAGTGGGTAGACCGTGGGTCTCTGCGTGACTGTCTAGTCTCTTCTTGAAGCTTTCAATAGTTGGAGCGGAGACCACCTCTGCTGGTAGTGCTCTCCAGTACCCACAGACTCGGAGGGAAAAGAACTGTAAACGCACATGAGTTTTTGACCTTTACTGGGCTATTCTCTTGGGGTTTCCTCGGGTGTCTCCATAGTGACCACTTTTTAGTATTCCTCTGTTCAGGTGGCTTGGGCTGTTCAGCATTTTGCAGGCCATTATCAAGTCACCCCGTAACCTTTGGCAACTGAGGGAGTATAGGCCTAGGTCTTTCAGTTTATCCTCCTATGGTTTCCGTTGCATCTCGACAACCCCTTTTGTGGCTCGCCTCTGGACTTTCACCAGCAGGTTAGTGCCACTCGTCAGTTGTGGTGCAGTGAAGACGTTATGAGCCTCTAAGTGAGGCCGTACGTAAGTCTTGTGGCGCTTCTGAGAGAGTTCTGGGGTGAGGACACCTAGTTGCCTATGCACAAAGTGTAGTACCCCATATGCTTTTGAGATATCACCCGGATAATTGGAACTGGTGTCGAGTTTCTCTGTCACCGTCAAACCAAGGTCTTTTTCTACTGTGGTATGGGATAGACGTGAACCATAAAGATAGTAGGATGCTTTCTGGGGATCAGGAGTGCTGAAAAACATGGACCGGCACTTGTCCAGATTAAACGCCAGTTCGTTATTGAGTCCCCATTCCTCTAGTGTTTTGAGGTCGTTCTGTAGTGTCATAGATTCCGCTTCGCAAGTTATTGCCCTCCGAGTGGACCCTGTTGACTTTCATGCAGAACTCCCTATTGTCTAAGTAGTTCTGCAGCGACGATAGCACCTGGCTGCGGGTACCCAACCCAGCTATCTTCTGTATTAGGATCCTGTGTGGGACAGTGACAAAGGCTTTGGCGAGGTGCAGGAAAATTACGTGGACCGGGACGTTGGGATCCCAGCATGTTGTCAAGTGATCATGGGCCGTCAGTAGGTTGGAGGCACATGACCTACCCTTCCGGAAGCCATGTTGAGAGTCATTGCGTGCTTGTTTTTGTCCAGATATTCCATCATACGGTCGTCCATCAAACTGTCCACAACTTTTTATATTACTGGTAGAAGTACTGTGGGTCTATAACAGTTGGAATTCTGTCTGTCTCATTTGAAGATGGGAGAAAGGCTGGCCCGCTTCCACTCTTGTGGGAGCTTTCGCTCATCCGAGGAGTGTTGGAGGAGGTCTTAGAGTGGGCCACTTGGGGTACCTGCACATTTTTTCGACGCAGATGGGCTGATGTCGTCGCACTCTGAGGATGTTCCCGCGCCTAGCTTTCATAGACCCTTCGAGAACAACGGCGTGAGTTATCTGTACTTCGTGTGATTCAGCAGCATCGGGTAACGTTGGGGGCTGTTCGTGCAACTGGCATGCGCACTTTCTTGATGGAATGTTGAGCCGTGTGTCAAATGCAGTACTCAGCATTTCGGCAATCTCCTGTCCAGAGAGGTTTTCTCCGTTCGGACATTTTATGACACACGCTCCTTGGCTTGTCGATTTTCTTTTTGCCATGAATCGGTAAAGGTTTTAGGGTTTACCTCAAGCCTTTCGGCGAGGTTGGGCTGGAACCACCTTCTGTCTCCCCGCACCCTTATGTTGCTTCGATTCCGTAGAGACATGTATGCGTCATGGTCGTCCTGTTCTCTGGAGTCTCTATGTGTGCCATGCCCTTCTCTCGGCTATTAAAAGGCGCTCAGTGCCCCTTTGTAGCCATGAGGTTCGCTTTCCGGTTGTTATCGTCAAGGGGACGTTTTGCGAGATGGCCGCACTGACGATATCTTTTACCAGTTTCCAGAGATGGTCGACCAATAAGGAACACTGATCCACTGGCCGTGGAGCTCTTAACAGGCTTTTGTTCATACCCTCGTAATTTGCATGGTTGTAACAGAGGTGCGGGCGAGGTCCCTCCCACGATAATTTTTCACTGATTACCAGGCCAAATACTACCATAGCCGGATAGCTACTTTCAAGAGAGGTTTGTGCCTGAACATATTCAACCAGAAGGGGGTCACTAGTCAGCAGGTAATCCAGTTTAGATGGTTTACCATCTGACCCCCCAGCGGGTGTTGTCGCTGATTTTTTGCTGCAGTCCAGCCATTTGGATAGCATTTAGCAGGTTACAGTTGAACTTCCGGCTCGGGGTAGTGCCACCTTGCTCTAGGCTGAGGGTTAGAGCGCTGAAGCCACCAGCGATAAGAATCTGGTCGTATCCGATAGTTGACACTGTGGATATTACTTGGAGTAGTTTTTGGTCATGTCCCAACTTGCTGTTACGGGACTTACAGATTCCTTCTACTAAGAGTTCGGTGTGTTTGATCGCAAAGTGACAACAGATGGGATCTAGGATCCCCTTCACTACCGAGTCAGTGGTTTGTTCACTTCCAAACCAGCTGTTCACGCATATTGCAAACACCTTCAGCCCTACGGCCTCTGTCTCTCCTGAACAGAATCATGCCATCTATGTTAACTTCGGTGTCACTTATGTCTGGCGACAACCATGTTTCTGTCAGGATCATGATTTTTGGGACGAGGTCGAGACAGAGGGGTCGAAGCTCTGACATTTTACTTCGGGGTCCTCTCACGTTGCGGTAGCGACACTT